CAGAAACGTATTGTCTGGCAATTCTGGAGGCTGGGTGTCCAAAATCAAGGTGTCGGTGTGCTCAGGTTCGCTTGAGTCCTTTCTCCTTGGCTTGCAGGTGAATGGTCCTTGCTACCCCAAAGGCCTTATTTTAATTCCCCCCTCTTGAATGTCACTATCTCCAAATATCACCATAGTCTGATGCAAGGTTAGAGCTCAACACGTGGATTTGGGAGCAGGACTCAGTGTAGGAAATAGCTGGGCAGTGTCCGTGTTATCCTACAGTGGGAACAAAAGAGAAAGCCTGAGCCTTGCTTACTTCAGCCCAGCTTCTTAGAAGAGACAGCCCAGTAAAAAGATAATATATGTCTTTTCTCCACTTGCCCTGTTCCTGGCCTCACAATTGAACTTGCGATCTTCACACAAGTGTTATCAAATATGCATTAAATATGTTAACCATCACAGAATCATAGTTCAGTCAGATGAGATGTCTTTGTCAGCTAAGAAGAAAAACTTACGAATTCTATTTGGAAACAGGAAATGTGTAAGCCAGGAATCCCAAGAAGTAGGACTAAAGTTGAGGTAAAATTAGTGAATAATTGAGATATGTGTGGTCTTATTTATTTGTGTGTGTGTGTGTGTGTGTGTGTGTGTGTGTGCGTGCGTGTGCACAGGTGCCTGCCACACTTGTCACTGCATGCATGTGGAAGTCAGAGGACATTCCCTGGCAGTCAGGTCTCTCCTTCCACCATGTAGATCCTGAGGATTGAACTCAGATCATCAGGCATAGCGGCAAGCACCTTTGTCTTCTGAGCCATTTCAATAACCCTATGCTTGTTTTTAGGTTTCTCTCTACTCCATTTTCCTAACATAGTTTGTCAAGCTCCAATAGAGCCAGCCAGGGACTGTCCCACGCCCACTGAAGACGGATTTGCTCATGTTCAGACCTGTCCTACCCCTTTCTAACTCTCCATCCCTTTCCTGTTTTCGCTCTGTTTTCCAAAGCAAAACAATAAAGGCATAAAGAGTTATTAAGTACCAATAGAGTCTGGCAATGATTTAACACTGTACGTGTGTCCTCATTTGGGTCTCACAACAGCTTGACTTTGCCTAATTTGTAGATGAGGAACCTGAGGTGTGAGGTCCCAAGGTGACTCCAAGCTTAGGAAGGCAGTGGCTGTGGTTGTTGCTGTAAGCCTGGTATATGGTTCCTTAGAAATAGTGTATGAGAGGAAAGTGGGTGTCTGTGACTTGTAGCAGGTGTAGCCTCAGGAGCAGGAAGTGAGGGATGGAGAGGCAGACAGAAGAAGCTGAACAAGGATATGGTTTGTGCCAACCGAGCTTCGGTGAGACCCCCTAGTAAACCCGCGCATGTTATCCTCACGGAATTGCCTCTGCCTTGAAGAGTGGGACTGACATTTTAGCCTGAGTCAGCTATTTCCAGGTTACACGGATGTGCCCTTATGGCTATGACAATACCAACGGATGCAGGTTTGACACCAAAAGATGGAGGCAGAGAACTTAAGAACCTCCAAGCTAGTCTTTAGCAGATAATAGTGCACTAAACAGCACTTAGAGTGTAACAAGGTATTTTTTCGGTGAACATTATTCATTTAATCATCATCACAATAACCTTATGAAGAAGGTGACAAATTTCCTTATCCCTGTTTGGTAGGGAAAGTTAAGGGTTCTGACTGTAGAATATGATACCATGGACCTTAAATTTACTTCTTGGTTAAGACTGGATGGTCCTCCGAGTTCAGTATGTTACCTGGTGGGATGAATGTCACAAAGGAGACCCATCTAGTGTGACCAGTTGCCCACATTTGCCTAGGACTTTTGTGGATCTAGAGCTCTAAACCCCACTTTCAAGGTAACCTAGGACTACTAGGCCCAGCGCCTGAAGTCTGCAATGCTCAAAGATTCAAGGAAGGCTTCTCATTTTAACTTCTTTTAAGAACAGGAGAAAAATGCAACTGTAATAATGATGACCATAAACACTGCAGCTGCTCCTAACTGTGGTCAGGCTGACATAGTCACTAAGGACCTGTTTTCATTTATTTCTTATGTGTGTCTGTGTATGCTTGTGCACATGCGTGGAGGCCAGAAGACAACTTTGGGAGTCAGTTCTCTCCTTCCGCCCATTTGACTGCAGATTATGGGGCTTGAATCCAGGTCATCTGGCTTGATGGCACTTGCTTTTACCTGCTGCGCAATTATGTTGACTCCCAGCAAAAATATTTTTTAATACATGTGTAAATATAAGAAGGAGCTTCTAGGGGACAGCTTCAGACATGGAAGAACTGAGATTGGGGTCATATTAAGCCCTTTACACAATAATGGTGGCTGGTCACGGCTAAGGAACTTGGAGATCTCCCCAGGGATGGTTTTTGAAAACCGCCAGTGTTTCCTAGATCTGGAACTTCTGTGCATCTTCCTGCTTCCCCTCTCATCAGTTGCCTGGGTTATTTTGATTTTGGAAGGAATTGGTAAGCCCGTCTGAAGGCCTTCCTCTGTGCCATGTGACTAGTCCAATGTCTCCTGTTCGTTCACCATGACCAGACCCTTGTCTGTCTCATTGCGCTTCCTCTGCTCCTAGCTCAGGGCCAGGCACAATGCAGATCCTCAGTGGGCATGCATGGACTGAGTAAATGAATCAGTTGAAAACTGAATTTAATTATTTGCTTATTTTATAGCCCTGGGGATGTGAAACACTCTAAGCATCATTTTTTCCATGTATAAAATAATAAAAAAAAATCCTTGGAACAGATATACCCTCAAATTCTTGGAAGGTACTTTATGTAATATTTGTTATACTTGTAGGCTTTGCCACTGTCATTGAAAAATGTATCTTAGCAATTAAATTGTTCCTTAAGGTTCTTAATATCATTACTTTTTTTTCTTTCATCCCCATTTTTTTTTAAATTTTAGATCTTCACTAGAATCCAGCATGTCGAATTTTTCCTCGAGAAAAAAGTCTCCTACTGGAAACGGTAATACAGATAATGTTTACTAAAATATTATAAAATCCTTTAAATATAAGAAAAGCAACTCATAGATCATAAATTTTACTATAGATATCTGTTGTTTACAATGGCCTTACTATATTAGCTTTGCTTAAGTTAGGGATCCTTTTTTTTTAAAGCAAGAAGGGGATGGGGAGAGGAATGTGATGTAGATCTAGTACTCATATGTGAAATTCTTTAAAATATTGAAATACATTTTTAAAAATGTTGTAGTTTCCACTTACGCCATTATAATGTAAAAAGTTTTAAAGATGACCATAAACACCCTTTGGAGGGCGGTCTGTGCCCTGGTGTCTGTGAGATTCATGAACTAAGTCCTGTGTAATCAATTTACAGTGTGTTTCTAAGGCACATTAGTATTGAGCAGATTATGAGGCTGGGTTTGTCTCAGCATGGTGATTCTGCATTCTCTGGGCTCCAGATGGGGCCTCCTGAGGTGCACTGGCAGTTTCGGTTGGCACCCGAGCAGTTTTATTTGTTATCTTTGGTGCTGGGGTGTGGGATTTGTTCTTTCTTGCTGAGGCACCCTGCTGCTAGACTTGCCAGCCCAGATGAGGCCAATGAGATGCTCTCTCAAGACCTTCTGGTTAACGCCCCACACTCAGCTTCCCTCTACAGCAACTGTTCCTGATTCTCTTGGTAGATGCGAAGAGCACCCAGGGGGCTGCACTGAGACAGCAGGGCTTTCATGATGTGAACAAAAGAAGGGCTTTCTTGCAGGACAACAGCTGGATAAAGAAACGTCCAGAGGAGGAAAAGTAAGTGTGCTGAAGGAAGGATGGATGGATGGATGAATAGATGGGTGGATGGGTGGATGGGTGGAAGATGGATGGACGGATGGTGGGTGATGGATGGATGAATGGATGAATGTGTGGATGAATAATGGATGGATGGATAGATGATGGATGAATGATGATGGATGGATGGATAGATGATGGATGGATGATGATGGATGGATGATGATGGATGGATAGATATATGTATGTGTGTATGCATGTATGTATGTATGTATGTATGGATGGATGGATGGATGTATGGATGGACGAGCAGTATCTCTGCTTGAAAGATATGACCATGTAAAAAGCAAACCTTTCCCACTAAAGTGCTTGACTACATAGTCTAATTTTTATAAGATTTAGTAAGCATAAATCAGTTGTACCACATTCTTAAGAAAATCTGCACTCTTAAAAACAAGCATTTACATACAAAAGAATGTGAGCTATTACAGAGGAGAGCATGATTGTCACCTAAAATAGGTGTAAACCGAAAGGAAGCAAAACATCCCTGTTTCCCAAAAGGCAGCAGTTAATCTCCTCTATGTTGCATTGATCATGTCAGTAACTTATTTAATTTGCAAATATAAAATAATAATTCAAACTTCTACATGCATAAGTAAAATCAGCAAGCTCACTTCAGACCCATCTGACCATCTACCTCTAGGTGGCCGGGAGAGTGGACCTTATTTAAGGGCAAGCACAGCAGAGTTTCAATGTCTTTGAGCATTGCTTCTGCAAGCTGTGTATTTAATATTTAAATCTTGTCATCATAGCTTTATGTAGCTTGTCTTTCTCTGTCCCACTAGCCAGCCCCCAAATCACTACATGGAGACTTCTTAACTAATTGCAAAAGCTCGGCAAATAGCTTATGGCTTATTTCTAACTGGCTCTTATAGCTTAAACTAAACCATTTTTATTTATTTACATTCTTCCATGTGACTCATGGCTTGCTACCGCACCTCCCACCTGTCATGCTTCCTCCACATCTCCTCATGACTCCATCCTTCTTCTTCCCAGCATTCTCTCTGCCCTGAAAATCCTACCTAGGATTTTATTGGTCATTCAGCTTTTTGTTAAACCAATCAGAATGACACATATTCATGGTGGACAAAACAATAATTACATAGCAGATTTACAATAGATATCCATATAACCCAGATCCATCTTTATCATTAATTAGTTATGAATTACAAATTATGCATATCTACAGATACATTTTCTGATTTTGTTATGTGTTAAACTTTGTGTTAGGTGTCTGGTACATGAAGTATCACTAAGTCTTATAAACGTATGAGATATGTTTTATAATCTCATTTTATAGGAGAGAAAGCTAGCTCTCAGAAGCTGTGTAATTTGGTCAAATGACACACAGCTGTTAAGTAGCAGAACTGACATTTTAACAAGATCCATTGTCTTTCCATTATACCAGTGTTTTTTAAACAGAGGCAATTTTACCTCAGGCAATCTGGGAGATATTTTTGGTCATGGAATTGGGGAATATACCTGACACTTAGTAAGTAGAGGTTCAAAGTATTGACAAACATCCTGAAGTGTACAGGATAGGCTCCGTAGCAAAGACTTTCAAACATACCATGTTAGCAGCCCTAAGTTGAGAAACTGCATTTTGGGGTACTTATTCTGACTTTTACACACTATCCAGACCTTATTGGAGGAACATACTTGTGACTGGCAATAGGTAGTAAAAGCGTCTGTTGCCTTCTGCTCTTGTATCTTATTCATTTAAGGACTCCAGTGGTGTGCAGAGATGTAACCACCCTTAGACTGAGCACAGTTGGACAACAAGCACTTCCTCCCACGGATATGCCCTTAGCTCTTCCGTGAGAGAACTTCTCTTTTTCTGTAGTGGCTGTGTGCTAACAAATGTCCATAATAAAATTTGGCTTCCAAATATTTGTGTAGATGGATGACGGTAGAGATGTCTCCGGTAAGTCACAGTTGATAGGAATGTTGATCCTATGCCAAGCAAGCCTCCCTAATCAGGCCCAGGGAAGCCAGGTTGAACGGCACGGTAGATGCTGAGTGATGGGAATATTGGCTCCCGTGCTTTGCAGGCTCCCGCTGGCCCAGTTCTAGGCTGTGCATTATGCTTTGTTCTCAGGGAAGAACGTGCCCGGTGCCTGCTGTGCTTTTTGAAGTTTCTCAGAAGGATGACAGGGAAGAGGGGAACTTTCTCTTGGTAGCCTTCTGAGGGTGTATGCTTTGTTAGGTTTTTCAGTTTCTCTGCTCACCTTTCTTTTTAATTATCTGCTGTAGCTTCTTTTATAGCTTTATTTATCATAGCTCCAGAATGTTGAGCAATGTTGATGGAGCCCGACCAGAGAAAATGTGGTGTTTCAGGTTTGGGGGGTTGGCAGGAAGAAACTCAGGTACTTGTCCTCTGCTGGTGTCAAGGCCATTGTTAGGAAATGATGCCTGCTAGGTCATACCTACTCTGCGAAGTGAGAAGGGCATAGCTTTGGCAACTTGTGTGTTAAAGTCTATCACGGGGCTGACTGTAAAGAGAACAGAGGACAGGAAATTAAGACCAGGGTCCTTAGCCACCTTTGTCTCTTGATAATCATGTGATTTTAGAAAAGCCACAAAATCTCTGTTGAATGCCCTCATATGCTGACTAGCATAAACTCTCTTCCCCTCCTAATTTAATAGGTATCTTAGGCCACATAAAGCATTCTCACGGTTCAAAGATGGGCTTCCTCTCCTACAAACAATCAGTCTCCCTCACTTGAAGCTTTAGTTCTTGTTTCCCCACATTTTTCAAAGGTCAATGAATGATCAAATCTATCAAATGTGCCGGCATAATAGACTTAATTAAACCTGAAGGATGTTTACAGGAAACCTTTGTCTTCTCTCCTTGTGGGAAAGAACTGATAGACACAAAACCAATGGTCTTATGCTCCCATACTCAGGTTAAAAAGAAAACAAAACCAATCACAACAAGCAAGGCACTGACTCATTGTTGGGCCATGTGGAGATCTCATGGGACAAAGGGCCTTTGTGCTGTCAAACTTTCTGCATTCCACTCTCCTCCTGCAAGCTGTGGCTGGCTAATTTAGATTTATGGCTCTGCTTTTAGGCACTGAGTAACACAAATTAACCTTGCCTGAAGTTGGAAACTCGCTCCCCGCCTCTCTCATGTAGTGCTTAGCAAACATTATGGTCACGTTTGATGTAACTTAATTTGGGTCTTTCTCTGCAGAGATGAGAATTACGGCAGGGTGGTGCTCAACCGGCATAACTCCCACGACGCCTTGGACAGGTGAGTGCTTCCAACAGTTACATCAGTTAACACAAAGTTGGAGGTGTAGAGAGAAAACTTGTTCAAGTCAGGTGAACAGTTGTAGCTACCCTTGGGCTTCCGTCAACACACACACAAGGAAAGGAGAATCTGGAGTACCGTCAGGGCCTTCTTCCAGAAAACTGTCCTGTGTCAGCTCTCAGAACTGTGGCTGGGAGAAGACTCACAAACTTTCTCATCCCACTCCACCGACAGGGAGAGAAAGGGCTCTCATACATCATGAGAAGACATCATGATACTTAGAGAAAAGAAGGCTAAAAGTAGCTTCCAAGTGTATGTGCTATGTGGGACATTGCTTTTATGAAAGCCATGGGCTTGTGGAAAAACCTTGACTTATCTGTGTTATTGAGTGGACTAACAAGTTCAAGTCAACAGGGGAATTCAGATAAAACGAGGAATCTCAATGTGAACATTCTCAGATCCATCGGACAGATAATACTCTCATTGGCACAGCCTTGTGCTCACAGGCTTAGGGACAGCCACACCTTAGAAGAACCTAAATATTTATCACTGTCAAGTTTCATCTGGTGCAGTGGCTTGTATCTGTGTACCAGTTAGAAGCTTTTGGTAAAGGAGTGTGAATTAAAAATAAAATAATCAAGTGTATACCATGAAACATATCTACTTTTGAATCTTGTACTTGTGAATTTATCTTAACCATTTTAAACCTTTACATAAATTAGACATGTTCTAAAGGTGTCTAACTTACCATTTTGTGTTCCTAATGGCGGCTTTTAGCTCTACAGAGTAACCATTGGTTTTAATTGTTTTTAAAGTTCGTACAGAAATAATGGGCTTCCAGGTGGCAGTTCATACATATGTGCCACATTCTTTGTTCTAGTTTGTCCCATGCCCCCTTCTGATTTACTGTCTTTGAAAGCACTTTAAAACAATTCTATTTTATAAAATAAAATATTGGTCCATTGATATGATAACCAATTTTTCAATGGAGATTTTTTTTCTTCTGAAGAAATTTCAATTCGCTGTCCTGGGGTCTAGGGATTCACTGTTTGCCACTTCACCTTACTCTTCATTGTTTTGGAGAGTGGCTCCCGGTTTACAGTGGGCCTGAATTTCACAAAGCAAAGGAACACTGACTGAGTCCAGCAACCAATGAAAATTGTTCTGTACCAACAACCAATGAAAATTGCTCTGTTCCTTTAAATAGACTTCCTCCAGAACACTGGAGAACACACACTCCCGTTTCAAACTGTGGCAGTGAGAACTAAGCTTCATCTCCTCAGCTTACCCACAGTGCACCTTAGCATAACAGGACCTTGGTACCATCTATGCTGGCTTTACATTTAAAACCATATTGGTTTCCTGAACTCTCCCTCTTGGTGGACAGCATTTTGGCTAAAGTAATACACCAAGCTTTTATCATTAGTAACAGAGCTCTCTGAATCTGGAGATGACCAATAATTAATATCATAGAATGAGTCTCCTCAAGGGGTATGGCAGATTCTCCTGGTACTGACTCAAATGATGCTACTCAACCCAGCCCCAAGTGCTTCCTGTGGTGGTCACACAGCCACCTTGGAGCATCTGCTGGATTCTGGGAGCACAGAGAAACATAAGCAACCTCAGGGAGTATGTAGCTCTTACATTCATGGAAAAGACCATGAGCCATAATACTGTGGTTTACCATAAGTAGTAGCTATGGAATGGATGTGTGACAGTGTTGTAGAAACAGAGAAAAAGGAGAGATTGGTTTGGCTTGTATAATTCCAAATCCCACTGTGGAAGTGATCTTTGGTGGACGCCACTGCCTGAAGAATGAGGAGGAGCGTTGAAGAGAGGCCAGTTGGTACCAGATATAGGGGAGGGTTTCCAGAAGAGGTAACAATGTGTGAAGAGAGCTGGCAGGGCAGAGACTGAGCTAACACATCCCTCTATCTTAGATAACAGCATCATATTATCTGAATCTAGAAAATCTTACTGTGCAGTTCTTTGGACAGATCATTTAATGTCAATCCAGTTAATATCATCTATAGAATATTCTTGGAGCCAGACACTGAACTTAGAACTAGATGTAAAACAGCCCCAGAGTTCACTGATTATGCATCCCAGTTGAAGGTGGGGAAGAGGAGAAAATGAAAATAAATAATAACAAATAATGCTATAATTCCCCACAGAGTTTGTTCTCCATGGGCCATGGGACTTACGAAAGCATTACTTTTGTGCTAAGAGCTAGGGAGAAAAAAGTCAACCAAAATCTAAAGTGATGGTGTTTGTGGATGGGCTGATTCTTGTTGCTGTTGTTGTGAAATTATTTATGCTTTTGCTCTGTGAATTTGTATATTTATTTCGAGACGTTGAGAGTAGAATCCAGAACTTTTCGCCCAGTAGACAGCACTCTGCCATTTTGCTACAAACAACTCAAAGAGGGCCTTTTTATGGCTTCATGACTTCACTTAGAAGTTGCCTTCAAACCTTGGGAAATGTAGCAGAGTTTTCTTTCCTTCGTTTTTGCCTTCACTGTGCTGTTCCATCAGCGGTCTGTAAATGTTCTTGTCTCTTTGTCTTCCTGCACTTTATCAGGAAGTTTTTACGTTTAAAATAAGTTTCCTCAGCATATAACTTCCTTGAATTTTCCTGAACTTCTTTCATCACACAAAGCACCTTTTGCCTTTGGATATACAAAGTTAAGCTGCCTCTCTTTTTTTCTCTTCTCTTCCTCCATTTTTCTTGTTTTTCTTTCTTCTTGTTTCTCTCCCAATTACTGCTATCATTACTCTTCCCTTTTCACATCTATTGTTTCGTCGTTCACTCTTGCCTTTCCACTTCTTTGTGGATTTTCTGTTCTTCCTCTGCTCTCTCTGTCACAAGCCTTTTGCTTTTGTGCCTGTCCATGGTGCTGAATGTTAAATAAAGCATTTTAGGAGCAGGCCCTCTGAGAGGGCTCACAGCCTCTGATAAAATAAGCTTACATGACGGTAAGATATTCCTATTCTGTAGACACCCGCAACACTGACAGAGCATACACTAGTTATTAACCATTATTAGCACAAGTGTCATACATCCTTAACCTCAGTGTGAGTGTGTTACATTACAGTGTTTTATGAAAATGTGTAAAAACCATCAGAACCAGTGAAGTATCATTTATTAGCAGTAGGAATTGAGTTTGCCTTAATTTATCTTATCCAAGTCAACATTTGGAAGATGTGCATGCCAACTTTGTCTTTCCTTGTTAATATGTACCTCTCCTAGCTAAACAGGTCAACACTTTGTCAAATTTATTATAGGTTTTATGAGATAATTTTGTAATTTTGTCTCTTGATAACTGTGTTTGCTATAGGAAAATGGCTGAGAGAGATGAGCCAAAAGCCACAATTAGCCGGTACAGATCTGATGACGCTCTGGACAGGTGAGGTGCTTATGAACCATGCCAGTGCATCAGATCCACTATGTGTAACCTCAAGTCCCATTCTTGTCATGCAGGGAGGGGCTGGAGCATTTACTGAGGCATTTTTTGCACTGGTGCCATTTTCTTTCAAGAAGAAGCCTCTGAAGTCCAAATTGTCTCCTCACCTCACAGAGTCTTAGCTAGATATATGATTTCCCCAGAGGAAGCAGTAGATTAATTGAGAAGATGGTGATTTGAGTATGAGTATTGAGTATGAGTACAAGACACCCTGCCTGGAATCTGTTGGCTAAATTTAAATGGAGGGACATCAGTCTTTATTCTGCAGCTTTGGGTTCTTCAACTGCGATGGTGGAGAGACAGCAGCTTCTGAAAAATCACTTGTAATTATACACATTGTTGTTAGAAACGTGAACTGTGCTGAGGAAGTTTAAATAATGTGCGGCATGAAAAATAAAGACCCTGAAGTTAGTTTGGAGAATCATTTTAATAGGCTAGGTCAGGGCGCCCCTAGTGTTCTATCGTGAAAATAAATCTTTTCCTTGGATCTTATTTTTTAAAAAATGTTTCTTTGAGGCCAGGCAGTGGTGGTGCATGCCTTTAACCCCAGTACTTGGAGAGACAGAGGCAGGCGAATCTCTGTGAGTTTGAGCCAGCCTGATCTACAAAGAAAGTTGCCGTACAGGCCCCAAAGCTATACAGAGAAAGCCTGTCTTGAAAAGAAAGTGTTTCTTTGAAATAAATACTAGATACAGCCTGTTTTGATGATTTTCTCCCCCACTCCACACCCAGATCCACCCCATCCCACACCCACTGTCTTAGTTACTTTTTTTTTTTGGCTTTGATGAAACTTTGTGACCATGGCAACTTACAAAAGAAAGCATTTAATTAGTTTCTGGTTTCAGAGGTTTAGAGTCCACGATGGCAGGTGAAGGAACACCCGAGAGCTCACATTTTGGTCACCACCATGAGGCAGAAGAACATAGAGCACATTGGGAGTGGTGTTCATGCTTTGAAATCTCAAATCCTACCCCTGGTGACATGCCTCCTTTAACAAGGCCACACCTCCTAATCCTTCCCAAACAGGTCCACCAACTGGGGACCAATTATTCAAACATATGAACCAATGGAGATAGTGCTCAATCAAACCACCACAACCACTCAACTTTATGTCCCTTTTTTCTTCACCAAGACTAATTTGTGATGATATGGGGTCTTCCGCCAGAGTATGGTCAACTTATCAGGGGATATGGTTTTATAGAAAACTCTGTCTTCATGAAGCCAACAATTGCGAATTGCTCCATGGCTAGGTGTGAGGCTTCCTGCCCAATTCTCTTCTTCAGAAGCTGGGATTTGGTCTGGCATGTGCTTGCACAATTTCTGTGTACACTATCACAACTGTTGTCAGTGTATATGTGCACCTGCCCTGCTGGGTCCAGACACTGTTCGCTTGTAGCCATCAACTGCTTCTGTACCTTACACTCTTTCTGCACCTTCTGCAATGAGATCCCTGAGCCTTGGAAGGAGGGACTATGGTGTGTGCGTGTGTGCACACACATACACACACAACATTACATTACATTTGGGGTTGGATATTTTCCAGTGACTTATTCTCTGCACGTCGGCCAGTTGTGGGTCTCTATGTTAATCATCATCTACTACAGTTGTGAGTCACTGTGTCAGTAACCATCTTCTGAAAATAGAAGCTTCTCAGTTGCATTAATGTATAGATATAATGAAAAGGAGTTAATCTAATAATAAGTTTTTGTAACTAAATAATGACAGTAGGCTCTCTTCTAGGGCCTAACCCAAGTAGATTCATTTGTCAATTGTCAAGATAGGGTGTTTTTAGTCCATCTTTCCTTCTACCAAAATCTAAACGGGTTAACACATCGATCATTGCTTGACTCATGACAGCCTAGTATCCAGGGAGTGACTCAGGCAGCTGAGTTCTTCCCCTGTTTTAATGCTGCCATCTTCAACCAGGGGCACCAAAGTTGTAGTGGAAGAGGAAGAAAGAGCATAAAAGGTATGCAGGAAGTTTTACAGTGGGGCTGGACATGGTAACAATGTTTCTATCCACAATCTTTAAAACTCAGTCAAGTGGGTCCCAACCTAATGACACATTGTTTCTGTCCACAGTCTGTAAAACTTAGTCAAGTGGGTCCCAACCTAATGACACAATGTTCCTGTCCACAGTCTTTAAAACTCAGTCAAGTGGGTCCCAACCTAAGGACATTTAAGTTGATAAACGTGACTTCTGTATGCTCCAAAGGAAAAGAAATGAGTGTGGCAAACACAAAGCATTATCTATGCCGCAGAACTTCAAAAGAGTCTTGTGTTTTATCGATGCCTTTTGCCAGCATAGGAAGTTTTACCATTGACACACAGCAGCTGAGTTAAGATCTCGATGAGTCAGGAGGTGAGCAGTACGTGTTGCCGTACACCCAGAATTCAGGTGCTGTTGAGATAGCCCATCAGCCCTCTTTCCCTTTCAGGTATTGTAAAATGTAACACGAGAAGTTCTTTTTACAAAAAAAATCAAAGGATTAAATATAAAAATGTTGAGGCATGTAAGAGACCAGGAAGAAGTTTGACAAGCTAAATGCTGGTACAAACTTCTGTGTTGTGTGTGAGGGTCAGGCAGAAGAGGGGATGCTGGAACCGTTAAGGCCCAGAGCTCGGATAACCAGCTAACCAACAGGGGCCAGCACTCACTACCTTGGGAAATAGAATTCAGATAGAATCCTTTGGAAGTGTTACTTATTTTTACCTAACAACTTACAACCATCCTTAATGCCTTTTTGCAAAATTTTACCCTCTGTCTATTAAAAAAATATATAATTAATTCTTTGAAAATTTCTTTCACAGATTCATACAATCTATTTTGATCTTATTCACCACCATGTAGGCCTCTAACTCCTCCTAGATCCACCTCTGACCCCCAATGTCTTTTTTTTTTTAAAGTTTATTTATTTTATAATCGTGGTTGTTTGGCCTGCATGTTTATCTGTAAACCAGGTGCAGGCCTTAGAGCTGGAGGAGGCCAGATGAGGGTGTGAGCCACCATGTGGATCCTGGGAATTGAATCTAGCTCCTTTGGAAGAACAACCAGCGCTTTTAACTGCTGAACCATCTCTCTAGCCACCCCACTCCTCACCCGTGTCTTTATTGTTTTTATGTATAGTCCAAGTCAAATTTGTGCTACCCATGTGCTTATGGGTGTGGCGCCATCTGCTGGAGCATTGTCAACCCAGCAGGAGCAGCACTCTTAGAGAAAACTGATTTAGTAGAAGCTGTTAAATGTTAATACCTCTTCAGTTAGGGGTGGGTGCTTGGATCTCCTATTTGCTGCATTCTAGAGTGTTAAATGGTTGATACCCTCTGTATTTTTAGAACTACCTTTTTCAAGTAAAACCCTTGGATTTTGCTCACAGGAGAATAAGATGTTGCCTGGCTTACAAACCTAGAGGCTCCACTGCTGTGGATCCTTAGCTTCCCCTCATCTTGTCTCCATTAAGGTGCTCTGGTGGTAAAATTATAAATTTTACATTTGAAATTATCAAATCTAGCATCTTAAGGCTTAGCTAACAATGACTTTTCAGAAGAAAAAGAGCATCTTGGGATTTAGCACAGGATTTTAAACACCGTACCTCACCAAATTCATTCAGGCAGTGATGCTTTTTCTCTCTTTCCAGTAGCCTCTAGTTTTTCCTCATAACTTTAAATTCTTGGACAAGCACAGATAAAGGAAGAATTAACTAAGTTTTCACTGTTGCTGAAACTATGCCATTGTTTCTTTCTTCTTCCAGAACACTGTCCACACTTAGGACACCAGAAACAACTAAGACGTAAGTATTCTCCTCACTGACATGTGCCTCCTTGTATGCATTTAAAAACAATCAAGGCTTACAACCCTCAGGCCAAAGTGTCACTGGACTACAACAAGGCCCTGTGGTGCTGACAGAGTTAGTCTCAGAGAAGACCCAAAACAGACTTCACAGCATCTGTCTGGACATGACCTGGAAAAGCTTACCTCCCACCACTCTCAAAGAATCACAAGTTTAGATCGATGCCTTTTGTCTTATAAAATGAACTCAGGGCTGGAGGGCTGGCCCAATGGTTAAGAGCCCTGGCTGGTCTTTCAGAGGATCCAGTTTTGATTCCTAGCACCCACATGGCAGTTCACAACCCTCTGTACCTCCAGTTCTAGGGGATCAAATGTCATCTGGCCTCTTCTTGCACCACACAGGCAAGTGGCACACAGAAATGCATGTAGGCCAAACACCTGATGCATGATTAATAAAATCTCAGAGCGAGAGATTGGGGTTCAAGCTGAAGGTCCAAAAAACCAAAACAGCCAGCCACTGGCTCTTACCTCAGTCTCAAAATGCTGATCCTGCCTCAGAATGAGACTGTGACTGAGAGCTGTCTCCTCCCATTTTATAATCCTCTCTAGTTCTGGGATTAAGGGCATGCACCACTACCGCCTGGTTTCCATGGCAAGCTAGTGTGTCTACTGGGATTAAAGGTGTGTGTCATTTCTGCCTGGTCTATATGTCTGGCCAGTGTGGCTGTTTTACCTTTCTGATCCTCAGGTAAATTTTATTTATTAAAATACAAGTGAAATGTCACTACACACCCACACACATAATAACCAAACAAAGTAAGACAGAGAACTCTGTTTCTCCCCATTTCTTAGACAACCAACTCCTTCTCATTCAGCACCTCACCTTCTTCCCTGACACCCCTCACATCGATGCTTCATCCCTCAGAGCAAACTCAGTGAATCACGAAGCCATGAAAGACATTTTCCCTGGCACACACTAATACTACTCAGAAGCAACACAAATTGGATGAACTTTAACATAATTACCTTTAAAAACTGCATTTATGGATAGAGTATTTTTCATGTTGGATCCCAATCTTTGTGTGTAAAATAGACCCTGGGTCGTTGTCATTTTTTGAGGAGCCGAATATGTACCAAAATGGAGACTAAATGGCAAATGTAGATTACTAATGTGTGTTTCTCAATTTTTTCTTAAGATCCTATTTCTAATGCAAAAAATTATGGCATAATTCCGTCAATCACAACAAAATAAGATTAAGAGAACGCAGATCAATAGCATGTCACAACTTGTTAGCTTGAACTTCACACAATTAATACCAGTATTAATGACTTTCTCAGCCTTCATCGCTCAACCAGCTCTGTAAGAGCCTGCCAGTGTACAGGACAGGTAAACTAATGAGGAGGATTGTTTCCTTCCCGCTTTTCGATCCCTAAGTGAGATGTTCTATTATAGATAGACAGTAGGCTGACATATGAGTAGGTTATAAGATGTTTCAAAGGTGATGGGGGGAGGGGAGAGGAAGCTGGAGGAAGGTAATGATTGTTCTGCTCATTGAACAGGCCAGCTGGTAGCTCCTTTCAGGCAAACCCCACCACCACGGCTTCCACACCTGCGACCACCCCTGTGAAGAAAAAGAGGTAAGCTGGGCACCCTGTGTCTGTCTCTCACTGAGCTCTGCTCCAAGGGCCTCTAGATGATGCTGGTGGTGAACTTAGGTGTGAAGACCTTTGCTACTTCAAGTAACCTTCCGCAGAGCTGCATTCCAGGACGCAGCTTGGCTTGAGATGGTGATTGGTGAGTAACCACACATCACCACGTCCCCATAGTGTCCTCCTTTGCTCTGGACTGAAGACTAATTCTACTTTAAAGCAGAGTGAAGGCTCTTTCCGGGGACTGTTTTCTTTGTTCTTTGAGACAATTTCATTTCTATTTTTATAATATATGTGTGTGTGTATGTGTGTGTGTGTTTAAGTCACTCAAAACTAAAAATAAATCTATGTGAATAAACAGAGGGTAGTAGGGTGCAGGGAGAAGTCTTCTCAATGGACAATACGTAGCTGTGTGAAAATACTTAGAAATTAGTTTGTTAAAGCCGAAGTAAACACAATCAAATACCCCAGTAAACACTCCAGCACTGCTCGCGAGAACTGAGCTGTGGAAACCAATCTAGGTATCCAACAATGGAGGGATGGAAGAAGAAAATGTAGTGCGTCACACAATGGGATTTTTTTTTTTTTAGCATAAAGTTATGCCTAGGTTGAAGCTATGTCAACTGGAGATTCTTGTCTTAAGCAAATCAAGCGATTTTATTTCAGGATGTTGGCCAGGGCTCCAGGCCTCCTTAGCCTCACCAGACCTTCCCCAGCCCATGTTACTTTTTCCATTCCTCTCATTTTGCTGTTCTTAGCTTAGCCTTCTCGGCAGAGATCTTGGCTACAGCTCTAGCTATATGAAATCGTAGCCTTGCCCTGTAAGGTGTTCTTTCTAACAGTTGCTGAGGCTGAGGGTAGGATTGCTGTGGAGCTCATTGCTGTCTGAGCATCCTGGTCAGAGTGTTCTATCTCACAGTTTAGACATTGTATTTTAGTTAGAGAATAAAGTTGTTATTTCCATTATGGGCTTGATTGGGAAGGTAAAGCAAGAGAAAGACTAACATGAACACACAGAAACCCGTCTAGATTTGACGGTTGCTGTTCTTTCCTGTTTTTTTTTTTTTCTTCCCCACATTGTTTAGTGGTTTAGTGTCAAAGAAAATGAAAAACGTGGTTCACTTGGCAGGGGTCAGGATTAGAGCTTGAAGTATAGGATCCTTTCTTATTACTCCCTCTATGAAATAGTGTTCATTTTATTTCCAAGGCTTCCTGTAAAAATTATCCCATTGCCTTTTTAGCTATCAACTGCCCTCCCACCCCCATTCAAACGCTATGATTATGACTGGTGTCATTTCTTAACAGACAGTCCTGGTTCCCACCACCCCCTTCTGGTCACAGCGCCTCTCCAAGCCCAGGAGCGAGCGGAAGGTAAGGGAAGGTGTCAGGCGTAATTGCTATGCTGTGATGGAAGGATACATTAGCCCTTGACAGCATATAATTGGGGATGTTTCCCAATAAGCTAATGACAATTTTGTGAACTCTGAAGAAGACAGTGCCCAGTGGGAGCAGGGTTAGGCTTTTCAGTGTTCTTGGTGAGCCAACTGACAGGCCGTGAGAACGGAGGAGTCGCCCATATTGATTTTCAATGTTTTCCATGACAAAGTGCTGCAATTGTAGTGGAATACACAGTGGGAATTTATTGCCTCACTGGGAAAGAGCACGGTATAAGCAGGATATTTTTCTTTGATAAGGCCACACATGGTAATTTTATTCGAAGAATTTGCTAGGCATTTCCAAACTTATTTTTTTTAAATTTTGATTCATTCTTCTTGCTTCTGGTATTAATATAAATTATTATTACAATGAACAAGTGATTCTTTAACTTTGTGAAACTGTGCAAGGGTTGGTCGTGAGTCAAGGTCTCACACATGCAAAGCCTGTTGAGATTGTGGGTATGCTTTGTTTTGAGATGGTAGTCCTGGCTATCAGCCTGAGCAATTCAGCAACTTGCTGGTTGTGTTTTACATGGAAGATGAATAATAATGCTCTGTAGGTAAAAAAAAAAAAAAAAAAATCTAGCTCAGATCCACAACCCTAGAAGGAAGGAAATGAGGAGGTTGTTAGGTTTTGTTAATCAATGCCTCTCTCATGGGCTGTTTACACACTGCCTAACCTGAAGGGCTTCTCTCTGAACTTTCAGGGAGGGAGGTGTGAATGGCAGAGTAGCGAAGACTTGAGTCCAAAGAGCTTTTACATGGAGTAGGACTGGAGTGTCTGCTTCTCATCTTTATGTACCTGTCCCAGCGTTGATAGGCAGACTTTGTAATAAATACTGAAAAAATAGAAGTGATTATTAATGCCAAAAAAAGACAGAATGCTACAAAAACAGATCTCTGATGTCAGAAGATCCAAAGCAAATGAAAACAGGTCCTAGACAGATAAAACTGGGGGACTATGGTCTTTAACACCTTTTGAGCCTAATGCTGAATTTATTTCTCTTTATCTCTGGCTGGTGCACGGGGATCCTCTCCCCTTTCTCCTCCCTCCCCTCTTCTCCTGCCCCCTTACTGCCCTGCCACTGTTTTCTGTTCAGTGCCCAGGTATGCTTCCACTGTGCAGTCTGTCCTTGAAATGCTCTTTTATCTCCGACCCCCATCCAATGCATAAACAGATCTCCAGACAACACCACCATTCCAAGAGACAACCCCTTTCCAACCTGTTTTCCTAGACCTCTCTGCCGATCATTCCCTTCCTGGTAACGTGCTAGCAAAGAAGTCAAAACCAGTTGTGTTTGGATTGAAGATTTGCGTTAATGCAGCACAATCTGGAACAAAGGGTCTCAGTTTGTTTTATTAATGAAAGCCATGATTTCATATTTTTATATGTCTATCTTTACACATGGAAGCTTATGCCTGTGACTGTAACTCTGTGTGTGTAAATCTAACTGTACTAACCCTTATAGCTACATCTCGAACTATATACATATTTAAGTAAGCAAGACTGGCAAGGTCAACTATATTTTAAACCATTGTGTACCAGTCTGCAAGGACATTTAAAATAAAGTTTGTTTTGTCTCAAATCACATTTAGCCCAGGTGAATGTCTTTGAGCCCAGCACTTGGGAGGCAGAGGAAGGTGAAGCCCTACGAGTTTAAGGCCAGCCTGGTCTATGTGGAGAGTTCTAGGCTAGCCAGGGCTACATAATGAGATCCTGTCTCAAACAAAACAAACTAACCCTCCCTGCCAAAATCATGTTAATAGCTAAATAAAAAGCTTACATATCTCAAAAAAGTAAAACAAAACAACAAACAAACAACAAAAACAGAACAAACCCCCTCGTATGTTCGGAGTATTTCACGGCCCTGTAACTTAAATGTTCCCCATAGCTAAATCTGGACTCCTTTTCTGAACCTATGCAAACCCCTGAGAACCAATTATACTTAACAAAATTATGCACAATAAAGCAAAATTTTTTTTGAGGAAGAAAATGTGAATGACACAGAGACCAATTTTAATTTTTGAAACCTTAAGGAAATTTTAAGGCTCAAGAATAGACTTGGGTAAAAGATTTAATTTTGTATGGTTTTACTTTTATTAAGGAAAAGAAATCAACAATTCTCACATTTGAAAAGAAATTGTGATAAATTAGATATTTGAATAATGTAGATGTTGCTCATGACTTTGCTTTAGTTTCGATAATTTCCAAACTAAAATTTCCAAGACTATATGAAATATAATAAAATATTCTAAAAATAATAATTTTTTGTTTCATATACATTGGTCTTGAAATGAAGGGTTCAGACATGAATGGCCAAACAAAGTAGAGGGCAAAATTGACAAATCTGAAGGTTTTTCACTCTGTTTGGGTTGAATATTAAACAGACAAATTTAATACCTGACAGCAGGATTCAGCACCTAAAGTTTGCCCAAACAAACCCATTTCCATCCTCCCACTGATTTCCGAGGTTGCTCTTATGGTCTGTGTAATACTTACTGGCTTATACATGTTTTAAAATATAAATAACCAACACAATGTTTGGTATTATCAAAACATGTCAGCAGGTTTATAGTCTCTGAAGTTTTATCTGATGCTATCAGCTCAGATAATTTCCTTTCATTTTTATGAAGACTTGAATACAAATTGTAACTTTACTTGTTCCTTAGTACAACTCTCCTGTCTGTTCTCCTGCCGCAGGATCAAGCCCTTGCTACACTCTTTTCCCTTTATTCAAATCTTTCATCCTAAAAATATCATCTTTGACATTTTCTGGGCAGATCCTTCAAATCCCTTCAAGCTGGCATTCTCTCTCTTTCTCACCCTGCCAATGATTTCCATCTGCATTTTGCTGGTTTCTGTTCTGCTCTTCACCTCCTTGGAACAGCTCTCCCTAAGGTCCCTGATGGCCTTGGGTACAATTCCCTGATGACCCAGCAGGTCCTGCGAAGACTTACCCTTCACACCACACAACTTCCTGGTCATACCACGCCTCCCAACACCCTTTCCTAGATTTTCTTCTAAGCAATTCTCCTTGAGTCTTCTTCTTCACAATCCTTTACCGAATCGTTACATTCTGATGTTCCCAAACCTCAAAGCCATCTTCTCTCTCCCGATGGCGTGTTCTGACCTTAATTAGCGGTGTCAGTGTGAGGATACCTAAAGCCACTTGTTGCTCCAGACTTCTCTTCTGGTTATCAGGTTGTATAGTCACTTGCTTCCTTGACACTTAAATCTCTCAAAATAATTGGCAACTCCGGCATGTTCATGATATTTGCCGTTTACCAAAGCCTGATCTTTTACCTTAGTCAACACCACCAAACTTTCCAGTCTTCTGACACCTTGAAATACATTCCAGTTTCTTTCCATTGCCATGATCAAATGCCCTGCGAAAAATCAACTCAGGGGAAGGGAGATTTATTTCATTTCCAGCTCCAGGTTATATTTCATCATGGTGGAGAAGCCAGTGCAGGAACTTCAGCTAGTTTTATCATGTCTATAGCACCGAGCAGAGAGAAGTGGATGTAGACGTGCTTGCTAGCTTGCTTGAGCTCTTGATTTCTCCATTTTTATACAGTTCAGGATCCCTTACCTAGAGAATGGTGCCGCCCACACTGGGCTGGGTCTTCTTTTATTGATTTACTTAAGACAGTTTCCCACAGATACACTAACATATCAATTCAGTGTAGGAGATCCCTCATTGAGATTTCTTCTCCAGTGTTTGTAGCTTGTGTTAACAGTTAAAGTTGACCATCACAAAAGTCGAGGTTATTTTTCCACCTTTTCCTACTTAACCACAGGTGTTTACTGCATAAGCAGGGCTGACATCCTGCCTTTTAAATGCGTTTTGAATCTACATGTCTCCTTGTATTCCTATCCCCTTGAATCATTTCTCTCCTGTATTATGACAATGGATGTCTCCTTGCCCTCACTCTTATATCTACTCTTTACTCCTCTATATGGGTGACAAAGTTATATTTATTTTAATAAAGTAGGAATCAGATCATCTGATCTTCCCAAGTAACAGATAAAATGGTTTTGCATTATCTTAGGAAAGTGAGTTAGGTCCTTAGCAGGGCTCCTGACCCTTGTTTGTCTTCCATTCGTGATGAATCCCCCTTGTTGTTTGGGTTCAGTTACTTAATCTGTTTTATCTTGCTAAATCTAGTCTCCACATTCTAGCGACCCTCAGAATCTCCAGCCTTTCTGTCTTGAACTCTATCTTCTCCCATATCTGAGGCACAGGAGTACTCAGGCTGTCTTTGGATCTGATTTCCCTTCACAGTTGTTATTTCTGATTTACACCATTCTGTTCTCTTAGTTCCCCATTAGGTAAGAAAGTTTTCTTGGATTATTAAAATGCTTCCCATGTAAGGTTTGAGTAGAGATGTGAAGTTGTGGACTGGTGGTACTCCAGGGAAGAAGCTCAGGTCAAATCACATATCAAGAATCAGAAATCTCTGTGACTTCTTTGGTCACACCCTTGCCAGACATTTCTCATTGACTGGCATTTTCTACAGGTCCTTCCCAGAAGAGGTCATCCTCACATTCAATTGAGGATCTGTAGTGGCATTTGAATTGTATTTTAACAAATAAAACTTGCCCGAGGAAAAGAAAAGTAAAACAGCCACACTGGCCAGGCTTTACTGACCAGGAAGCAATAACATACAACTTTAACCCCAGTGGTCATACTGGTTGTCATAGAAACCGGGTGATGCCTGCCTTTAATCCCAGTGGTGCAGGCATTTAATCCCAGCTTCAGAGAGAGGTGTAAAATGGGAGGAGACAGCTCTCAGACACAGTATCATTCTGAGATTCCTGGAGGCAGGATCGCCATTTTCAGACTCAGGTGGAGCTATTTTGCTTTTCGGACCTTCAGGTTGAACCCCCCCAATTTCTCTGTGAGTTTTTATTAATCGCGCTTCAAGGATCCA